TGGGGGACGTAGGGGTGTTCAGCCTGGAGAAGAGGAGGCTGAGGGGAGCCCTCATCGCTCCCTACAACTGCCTGAGAGGAGGGGGGAGCTGGGGGGGTGGGCTCTGCTCCCAGGTGATACAACAAAAGGAAACAGCCTCAGGTTGTGCCAGGGTAGGTTTAGGTTGGATACTGGGAAAAATTTCTTCCCTGAAAGGGTTGTCAAGCACTGGAAGGGGCTGCCCAGGGAAGGGGTCGAGTCCCCATCCCTTCAGAGATTTAACAGCCGGGCAGATGCGGTGCTGAGGGCCGGGGTTTGGTGGTGGGATGGCAGGGTTAGGGGAAATGTTGGGCTTGGTCTTCTCCAACCCAATCGATTCCATGATTCTATGAGTAATTAAAGACATGGAAGTTGGGTGGGGTTTATCTCCTCTTCCTTGGGACGCCCTTGGCTGTTCAACCCCAAGGATATCTTTGCGCTGTAGGATCTTTACAGGGCAGTCTGGGACATTCTTAATCCGTTCCCGGTGTCTGGCCTCGCTGCAGGTGAATGGGCTTTTCACCCACTTGCCGGCTGCAGTGTCCAAAGCCATTTCCTTGAGCACGGTGGCGAGGAACATCACCATTTCCCATACGTCGGGGATGGAAGTGCTCTTCAGCCCCAGTGGGGAGGTGACGGTGACCGTTGGGGCTGCCTTGGTCAACCAACTCTGCGCTCCCTGTGGCAACTTCAATGGTGACCCCAGCGATGACCTGAAGCTGCCTGACGGCCGGACTGTGAGGAGCATCGGTGAGGTGGTTGATGCCTGGAAAGCCCGGGATTTCGCGGGATGGTGAGTGACCCCACAAACCCCTGCCCCCCCTCCCCAAACCATGGCTTGATATTTTTTTAAGCCCGGGCAAGCAAGAGGGTAGGGAACAACCTCCATGGGGCATCAAGGGGTTGGGCTAGGCGGCATCCGAGAAGGACTTCTCCATCTTCTTTGGTTTCATCCACAGCGACTGACACACAAACCCAAGGAAATTATCCCGGTGAGTGATTCTTCCCCTCCTTCGCCGTCACATCCCACGCTACAAACCCTCCTGCAGCCCCACCATTGGATGAGGCTCAGTTTGTTCGACCTGCCCTAATTAATCACCTGAATCATTGGAGGAGGGAGAGTGGGGTGGTTCTGGTGCCTCCACATGGCCCAGCCTTAAAGATGTGCCAGAAGAGAAGGCGCCCAATGCCTTCGCTTCGACGTAGGACAAACTGGGCAGTGACTGAGCTCAGAAACCCCCAGGATTTATTTGGAGGAAGAAAAACTGAGCCAAGCTCACACTGGAAATGGGTTTTTGGGGGTCTCATGGGATGTCCCCGGCTTCGCCACTGGGGTTTGTCCCCGTGAGGAGCAGGAATAGGCGAAGAGAGGGCGACTGCCGTTGAACGTAGGTGGCTCACACTGCGTAGGGCACGGGCTCGCTGAACACGGGGTGATGGTGCCAGGTGTGGAAGGGGCTTGCGGAACATGGGAGACTTCTGGTGAAAGACAGGGTGGGGTTTTTGGCCGAAAAGGGGGCAGCGGTGCCAAATACAGGGTGGCCCTGCGTGATATAGGGTGATTGTGCCGAATACAGGGCGATGGTGCCGAATATAGGGCGATGGTGCCAAATATAGGGCGATGGTGCCGAATACGGGGTGATGATGCTGAATACAGGGCGATGGTGCCAAATACGGGGCGATGGTGCCAAATACGGGGCGATGGTGCCTAATACAGGGTGATGGTGCTGAATATGCAGCAATCTTGTTTAATATTTAATGATTTTGCCAAAGAATGAGGGATCTTGCCCAATATAGAGCCCTTTTGACCAACAGCGAGCCATTTTACCCAACAGCGAGCCATTTTACCCAACAGCGAGCCATTTCTCCCAACAGCGAGCCATTTTACACAACAGCGAGCCATTTTACC